TTTTACTAACATTTCACTATTAAAATCAGATTTGTCTGACGTTAGTAAACTAGATGACGAACTTCTGGTGGAAAGTTCACCCCCCGTGGATATTGTCGCAAAAGTGAGCATTACTCACACACCACATGAATCTTTATGGAAACAAATGGAAGGGAAAACATGTCTTAATCACTCACTTGGAAATTTATTACTAATAAATAGTATGCTCAGAGTGTTTCTTTTCAATGTTCTGGTCTGAAAGACATCGTTGAGCTGATTAAACCCTTTTCCTATCGTGATAATTACAGGGTTGAAACTTTTATTTCAGACACTGATGACATTTTTAATCTCTATCAAAAAACGAACCCCGTTTGTTCACCAAGTAATTTTTGTTAAAGAATATTTAACAGGTCCGGCTTTAATAAGATCAATTCGTTCAATTACCAATTGGGAACAATTAAAACACCATTTGTTAGACGAATTTTCAGATAAAATTAATAATTACATTAAATAATGGAATCTCATCATAAGAAACCATTTGAAACTTAACAAGAATATTTTTTAGCCATGAGAGATCTTGTGCATAAAGATTCTATTGATGATTCTTCTCTCATTGAGTATGTTATAAATGGTATTCTTGATTCATCAAAGAACAAAACAATTTTGTACGGCTGTAAATTAATTTTTGAATTTAAAGAAAAACTGAAAATTTACGAAAATCTCTTCAGCAGTTCAAAACATTTGAGGCAAAATACTCAGAACTTTCACAATTCCCTTAACAATGTTGAACTCAATAATAAACGTACATCAGACACGCAACCAGTATGCTTATTCCTGTGGTTTAAAAGGGCATAAAAGCGTCAATTGTCCATATAAATAAAATGGCAAATTTTGCTATGGCTGCAAAAATTATGGTCATGTTCATGCCAACTGTTCCCCAAATCCTTGTAGTTTTACCACAGAATTTGATCCTATACATTCTACACCTAATACAACTGTAAACACACTTTCTGTTCAAATTTTTTCCAAACATCCTATGCATGTTGATATGTTGCCATTAACCACACTTTATGACACTGGATCCCAAGCCACACTTATTAATGAAAAACATATACCGCAAGACTGGTTCTCCATCATTACATTTTCAGGAACTGGCCGAGACACAGTTCAAAGCACTCGATTCTTTCACGATTCCACTGAAATTCAAAACACTCTTTTAACTGCTAAAATCCATATAGTAAAAGTTTATATGATTCTTCTTGATGCGATTATTGGAATCGACGTTTTGCAACAAACTCAATTTACATTTGATAAAGATGATATTCATTTATGCAACAGTAATGATGATGAACTTTTTGCTAATATTGCTAAGGTCACTCATGATCAACAATGTCCGTTTGATCTCTCACACATTTCGAACTCTGAAATTCAGGAAGAAGTTCACCATATCATTACTCCTTACAAAGCACATAAGTTATTACTGCTATGAAAGATTTTAAGAGGATGAAAGAAAAATGATAATCAGTTAAAGAAAATGGTTAATGATGAAGATGATGCCGATGCCGATTTGGATGATGAACAAGTATACAGAATACTGAGGAAGCCGTGAAAAATAAACTGAATCAGTTCAAACAAGAAAGTGATGAATAAACAAAAGAGAAAACACATGCTAAAAGTGCAGAAATACCCAAAGAAAAGAAACCAGAGAAAACTCTAAAAGCGGAAAAGACCCCGAAAACTGAAAAAAAGAAAGCTTTTCGCAGAAGACTCTTGATGATGAAGCAATAGGTTTAAACCGCAGAGCTGGCTTCCGTCCTGGATATATCTGGGTATACCCATACGGAATTGAGTGCCCACCCAGCAGGGAGATGCCAGAGAGGACCATCCCATGGTAACACAAGTCCGTGGACACGGCAAATTTAATGTTCTATTACTAAAAAAAAAGGAAAGTTCACAACATGGGCATGGTCACGGGCCCTTAAGCCCTTGAAGAGTTGCTAACATTCTATTGTCATACTGCATAAATCAAGTAATACGGGATTACAACTGAATATGAAAATACATACACTGTTGTTGCATTACATATGATTAAGAGGTACAAGTGCGTAGATTTACGCAGAGTTACAAAGTTAATAATAGACATTCATATGATATTGGTACAATTATACGTATAAAAACAAAGAGGGGTTCACAACATGGGCACGGTTACAGGGCCCTTGAAGAGCTACTAGCATTCTATTGTCATACTGCATAAATCAAGTAATAGGGAATTACAACTGAATATGAAAATACACTATTGCTGCATGATTAAGAGATGCAAGTGCGCAGATTTACACAGAGTTACAAGTTAATAATAGACATTCATATGATATTGGTACAATTATATATATAGAAATTCAAACAGTACATAGAGAAATGTTAGTGGTTACCACCAACAGGGTACAGACAGAACAGTGTAGGAGCTTTACGAGTATACATTAGTTGAGAGTTATGTACTGTGTGCTGTAGGACATGTGCTAGCGCACACCTCTAAATGAAGGTGATGCATTAAAATGTAACTACCAGTTGACAATCAGAAGTAGGTAGCCGTGCTGTAGCTGATGTCTCTAATTAGTAAGGTTTGATGAGTCAATGTTGAGATTTTGCAGAGATATGATGTGCCCAGCCAGCAAATGTCTGTCGATGTGTATACACTGAGCCCTAAGGGCTTTCAAGTGGACCACTATGGTCGTTACTGCAAATTTGCACTTCTGGTTACTGGGCTCTGCCCTATACATTATTACGCATTCATCTATTACAGCCTTGATCTTTAGCTAATCTTGACTTAGACTCTTTTGTAGTCTGGAACCATTGGGATCAGTAATTGTCTTTAGGCTTTTTGAGCCTGTACTGAGGATGCATGAAAAGAAGAGATGGTCAGGGTCATCTACCTCACCACATTCGCAGGTGTCATTATCTACGAATCCAAAGCGAAATTTGTACATGAGGAAGGGCCGTGTCGTGTTAAAAACTGCGTCATAAAATAAGTGTAGGACTGTGTATCGGTCTTTACTTTTGGGATGAACTTAAAAACCCGACATTCTGTGGTGCCCTGAGCACATCTCTGTTGCAACTAAGACAATAATTGTTCTTGCGTCTGTCTTTTGACAAAGGAGATCGGCTTTAATGTGCCTTCCTCACTGCCGTCAGTGGAGCTCGCTGCCTCCTTTGCCGCAGCATCAGCCAGCTCGTTGCCTGAGCTGGCACGAGTATGAGCCTGCACCTAGTTGAGACTTGGGATGTGCACCTGGTTGAATTGTAACAGCTGCAGCCTAATTTCTTGAACTAGCACGCTACGTGATCTCTCATTAGCTATGGCTTCCAGACTGGAGGCCGAGTCAGAGTAGATCTGTGTGGGAGCTCCTTCAACTTCTGTGTTATACTTCAGAGCAGCACTGATGGCCAGCAGTTCAGCCTGATATACAAAGTTGTAGTGCGGCAGTCTTCTTTTCCATACATGCATCACTTTCCCAGTTAGAGGCTTCTAGCACCTATTACTTCACGTCTGAGACGTTAAGTAATAGGTGCTAGAAGCATCTAACTGGGAAATTTACTTAGTGATATTACTACGGAAGAAATCAAAGCTTTGTCTTCTGATATTTTAGAGGTTGCTGTGCCAAAAAAGATGCAAAGAAACAACTATTATTGCAAAGTATTATTTGCATTTTGAGAATTTACTAGTGAAACTAAAACTGAGAAAAATCAAAAGATCTTGCAGGAGATTTATTTGTCTCTTGTGCTCCAGTCGATACAATTTCTCAAATTGCTGAAATTTTTCCAAAAGTAACTGAGATAATCCTAAATTTATCACTTATATATTGAACTTCTACCGTAAGTTACATACATGAAAAAGATGCAGTTGAAGCTGTTAAGGCAACAAAGAATGCTGAAATATCCGGGGAAAAAATACTGTTTTATATTCTTTAGCCACTTTAAACCCAAAGATAGGCAAAAATAGAGCATGGAAACATAAACAAAGAAAATTTAAAAGGACCCTAAAGAAAATTAAATTAGAGACCCAGTGACATGATGAAAAAAACTCATCTATGTATTGAAGCTCAACAGAACATACACTGTTTACAAGAAGAAAATATACAACAGTATACGAAACGTCGAAAACCTGCCTGTAAATACAAGCTTTGAGACTAAGTGGCAATACAAAGCACCCAGTTTGGACCTCGACTGAAACTTCGTTCTAAATTCTTCGGCCTTTAAGAAATATTGAAAGTTCATCCATCTGTTCGTTATGAAGGCCTTACCACAACGTCAACTTCTGCTGATAAGATGAAACGGTGGTGCACAAACCCAACATTCGCCACCAAGACATTGATTTTTTCTCCTTCTTTTCAGCTCTCTTGTCTTCTTCAACCAGCCTGCAGAATAGCCATGTGGTTACAAGCTTCTTTTTACATATAAGAATGGCAACGCGCTTACCAAAACGACCACGTGACCACTTAGCAGATGAAAGATGAAAACAGCAGCAACGAAAAAGTTCAAAAGAGAAGAATTCTAAATTATTTTTATGATGTGATTTCACTTAATATGATGTTATTACATTTTGATGATGCCATGGACAGATAATTTTTCTTCTTTCCTTTTTTTTTTAATCTTCGTGTTAATTATGTTTGCGTGTTTTCGTCATTAAATTACTAAATGTCACTACCGCTGTCATCAATAGGACTGTTCCTATAGTTTGTAAATACAACTATATCCTACATATATACATGTGAAAAAAAAAAGTTTACAGACATGCATTTTGAAATGTGCCCAAATAATTGAAATAACATATATATTGGATGAAAAGGAGTCAAGGCATAACTTGGGAGGATCATTATGGGTTTATAATCCAAAAAATACCTATTATTCATGAACTTTAGAAATTTGTGGCCAATTGAAGAGTTAATATACTAGCTCAGACAATTAATTTAAGTTATATTTGAATTAAAAAATATTTAAGTACTCAGGAAAACTAAACAACTTACTTTGACAACTGAAGTAATAGCTTGCTGAATCAACAAATCAGACAATTCACCAATATTAACACATACTCTGAAAAACAGCTGCAAAAGAAAAAAAGAAATATGATTCATAGCTTATTTGAACAAATTTAAAACTGAAGTGATCATGAAGCAATGAAAAAAATGTAATTTTACAGTACGACTAATTGATTGGCAGGCAGAGAGAGGAATGGACAAAGACTTTCCACTCTGTTACAAAAGCAATAAGTCTCCTTTATGCGTGGATATTTAGGTTAGGTTAAATAGGACACTAGATTTCCAGAGCCTGAATACTACTTAGGCTTACAAGGCCCAGACTAGGGCCCATAAATCTTCCTAACTTCTTATAATCCTATTTTTCTCCTGTAAAAGGAATGAAAGCAAGCACCGGGGATCCTGAAAGAACTCTCTGCTGCAGTCCCAGACTGTTTTAATGAGGCTTTGAGTATTTCCCCACATTATTGTCCTTCCTGTTTAGTACATATTTTGAGTATTTATATCATAAATTATTCATTTTTTAAATTAAAAAAAGGATGTAATAAATCATGGGTAAATGAAACACAAGATACTGAAAGCTAAATACTCTTTAGGCAGTTTCTTTCAGAGGATATTTTAACTACTATGAATTCTTTTAAAAATACCTGGGTATATTCTTTATAAAATAATAATAATAATAATAAAAAAGGAGTAGAGTAATACAGTCAAAAGTCGTTAATCCGGACCCCAAAACTACAAACTTTCTGCGCATACGTCAACACATAGTGCGTTCACGCATGCGCATAGGCGTTTACGCATGTGCGAAATACCTTTATGCATGTGCATATGCGTGTGCGCATGCTCATAATATGTTTACGCATACGCGTTTAATGTATAACGGACGGTATAAGCTAAGCTAAAATTATCTAATTATCTATTTCAGTTAATGTTGCTGATTGCGTTGTTCCTTAATCTTCTAATTTTATACGGCTTATTATTTTTTCCAAACTGTTAGAGCAAATTTTATAAAAGTAAGCTTGAACTTTTAATTATGTCAAAGAATTTCCGATTCTGGAGCTGCCAAAGGATCTACAAAGCAAAAGCATGTTTTGATGTCCATCAAACAAAAAGTGGAATTGCTGAAAAAAATGTATAAAGGCATATCCTTTGTTTCTCTAACCATTCCGAAATCTGTTTATCAGTTTCACGCTGCTCTGCGGGGTGGGGGAAACACCGAGGTGCGCAATGACTGGAAGTTGATCTGTCAGCACCATCTTTATCTTTAGGGCAGATGTTTTTATTTTATTCGGCTTACAATTCCTTACTAAATGTAGTATTTCATCTCGATGTACTCCGTCTTTGATATGATTTAAATCAAATTCCTCGTCATTATAAATATCACGAATACACATCAAATAGTTTTCTGGTTGTAATTTTCTAATTTCGACTATGCGTAATGTATGCTTTACGCATGCGCGCGTTAAAAGAAATATTTAATAAAGTAAACAAATAAATATTAAGCTTTTATTTATTTAATTATTTATTTTTGTAAATTTTGATACCCTTTAGATTATTATTGCTCTTTATTTCATAAAGTAAACAAATAAAAATTAAGCTTTTTTTGTAAATTTTGATACCTTTTAGATAATAATTGCTCTTTATTTTATAAATTACGGTTTCACATTTTTAATTTTATAATTTCTGCATGCCATCTTAGCAGATTTAAATTGATGATCTATAATCCAGAAAAACCGATAATCCGGAATGGCCGAAGTCCCGACGAGTCCGGATTAAAGACTTTTGACTGTAAAACATATAGGCATGGCTAATTCTGTGGCAAGCATATATACCAAGCCTGGCAGTGTCTTTTTCTAAATGAAATTCTTATACATTATCATTAAATACATTTTTTACTTCATTAAAAATACAATTTAAAATAAAATTAACAAACTTATCCTATCCTGTGCCATCAGAGGCCTAAGTATTTGACATTTATACTTGACGATTTGCAATATTTACTAAAACAAAGGAGATCAATGCTTTTAAATTCGACAATGTAGGACAAGCATCTTGATCTCTCTGGAAAGAATACGCAGTTACTTTCCTCAATGTAGATGTCTGCAAAATCCACAACTATGAATAACAATCTAAGAATATGGTTCAAGTCAACAAAAGAAGACTTTTTTTGGGGGGTCTTTCCAACATCTTCTGAATTTTATAGGTAAGTTGCGTGAAAACATTCTCTCATTCTATCAATTTTATTATATGGTACAATCTTTTGCATCACAAAATTTACCAAATTCCACTAAAAATTAAACATGAATTATCAGGTAAATTTTATTTGCTAATTACAGAGAGATGATATATACCAAAGGTGGCCAAACTCCAATGTCAGTTAGAGCTTCATGTTGAAACTCAGTAAAGACTGAGAGCTGCAACTAGATTTTCTAAGAGCTACAAGTCGACATTCACATTACTTTAAAAGTAGTAATAACTTTGTAAAAAAAAAGAAATAAATTAATTACTTTCTTCTGAACATTCAGTAGTTTTAGATAACCATATTTTACACATATATTTTATTTGCACAAGAGGCCACACATCTAATGAGCCACGCTATAACCACCCGCAATACACAAACACACATTTTAGGTTAAAATAACACGGTGAATAATGATTACTGGAGAGGTCAAACAGGGTTGCCACTCAAACAGGAGAAAGAAATTCCCTGACTTTTCCAGGTGCGTTTTAAGAAAATTCCAGTCTATCCGTGTAATGCACATTGGTTGTGCTAAGAAGTAAATTAATTATGGTATTACTTGAAAACACAAAAATTTGCCATATATATAAATCTCATATTATAAGTATAATAGGAGATGTTTCCTCCTCTACAGGTCGAGATTAGAATCTGAATTAAAAAATGTCTTTTTTTACAGATATTTTGCAGCTAAACGAAAGAAAGAAATCTATTTAATGATGTTCTTAAATAAATTCAGGTATTTTATATTATTTAGGAGCATACATAAGCAAAAATTATGTGCATCAAATTTCATGATGGTATGTCATCATACTGCTAGAATGATTTCAGGATTATGCCAGAGAAAATTTCCTGAAATTTGAAAGTATTATTTACTAATAATAAATAAATTTAGAGGGAAGAAGCAACATTAAATGATACGAATAACATAAAAATAATTACTTAAAAATTGAATTCGAATAATCAATGATATTTTAGCGAATATAATTATATTAAATGGATTGCCTAGATGACTGATTACTATTTTTTCATTTTACCTCAAAATGACAAATAAGGCATTTATTAAAAAGGGGAAAAAAGATTTTGCAGTAACATCTTAATATACGCTAAGGCTTTGGACATGATTTTGAAAATTGTCGCCAACACCAAAATGACCTGCTTACTGCTCATCATAATGTCGCCAAATCCTGTGTGTACTATACATGGAGGTTAAAATAGAATACATGGAGGCTGTTCTAACCAAAGAACGCCTATGTAAAGAAGAAAAGATTCCATAGACCTAATGCTATCACGTTGGTAGAAAGCAGAGGGAAAATTCGCCAAGGGATTTGGCGACGAGAATTTCCCTCTCCGCGATGTGTACAGGGAAAAAATGTTTCTTCTTTGACTTTTCACGATAATTTAAACACGGATTTTCGTAGTGTTTCCCCCCCTCAAAATTAACTAATTCATTAATTAATTTACTTACTCGAAAAAATATTTCTTTTCCTTTAAAGAAAATTTTAAACAATATTCATTTTATGAACCCCTTGATAACGTCCTTCGAACTTCAACACCGGCTTTGAGCTTTGGCGACAGATATTTCACGTGTGCACAGCTGTTTCCCTCTACGTAGGAACGGAGCCACTCCTGTTGCAGAGTTTACTTTCTTAATAAACATATTCTTGATTCTGACCCTTCATAGTACTGTATACCAGGATTAAACCGATTACCTTTTATACCAGAATAAGTATATTGTTTAGTTGAACATGCACTGCACATGCGATTCTGAAAGTTACTGGAAACCAAAGTTGCTGGAAACTTGCTTTGCCTTTCTAAAATACAATATAATTGGAGCTGCGAAAATTGGCTCTATGCCGGCTGCCTGAATGACGCTCACGCGATACACAATTCGCCAAGAATGTGATCGCTTCCAACCTCGGAGCAAAACTCGCTTTTTTGGGGTGATCGCCGTATAAAATTCCCTGACTTTTCCCTAAATTCTTTGGTCAAATTTCGAATTCCCCAATTTTCCAGGTAGCATGAAAACCCTGGTCAAACAACAAGAATACTTCATACTAATAAGTAAGCTGAGGAATTATCCACAGAAAACAATCTAGTTCCATCTTTGCTGATATCTACATGCATTATTACAAATCAAAATCATTTGAAGCTTTAAACTTCCTAGTATGGTTCCACTACACAGATGATACTTTTACCCTGTTTGGTAGTAATAAAGATGATTTAAATAAAGTTCTTTGAAAAATGAATTGAATTGATCTTGCTATTCAGTTCACTTCTGAACTCCAATTCTCTTCCATTCCTTGACATTTTGGTTGCACATAACATATCCAACTTCAGTAACCTTCATCACTTTGCCTTCCATCACACTTCAAATCATATCATACAACTACACAGAAGTTAGCCTCATTTTATTGCTTTGTTTTCCATGCACTTCAGGTTTGCTCCTCCAAGCCGGCTCTTGATCATGAACTAAATAATTTAACAGCAGTTGCTATTAACACGTGCTTTTTACATAATATTATTAACCAAGCAGTTAAAAAATTCTCATCTCAACACATCAAAAGGCACACTCTCGTTTTAGAAGATTAAAAGAATTTTATTGTCTTCCATTGATTAGCTATAAAATTGTAAGTATTTTACAGAAATTTAAGTTTTGGGTTGTTTATTCTGCCATCAATAAAATTCCGAGTTCCATACTCAAGAACCCCATTCTGGATATGAATTCATGGGATATTTACAGAATTCCTTGGTTTAATTAACATTGGCCAAACCAAGAAAGCCTTAGAATTTCATGTTTAAGAATACGAGGAATACATTAGGAAAAAGGAAACCCAGAAATAATCTGCTGCCCAGCACTGTTGGTCAGAAAATCACACTTTCCATTTTTCTGCAGCCAAAATTA